TCGCCAGGTAGTTATCGGCATTCGCGATATAAAGGCATGGATAAGTTTCATTCATTGCGAGGGTTGTTTTGCGACAACTCTCCGCAATGAGTGTTTCAAAAAAACGCGCCAAGTACGTTGGTCCTGAGAATTTTCTGAACAATTTTTTTTAAAGAAACACTCATAGTTACACTCTTTTTCATTGACTTTGTGTGGATAACCACACTCTTTATGGTTATACCCACTTCGTAACTCACAGGAATAGACAATTTTGAGTTGGCATTGATGAGTTCACACTTATAAAATTTGCAACAGTACAAGCCGACTGTAGAAAAAAGCTGAAATTGTTTGTAGATATTATGAAAAGTTCTGTGGTTTTTCAAAATGACAAGTTCAACTTAATAAACTTGGCGCTCTTCCTTATTTGTGCACTTCTTTCAATTTCCCAGAAACAACTGTCCATAAATAAGTACTCGGGCATTTTTCCACAACAACGCATTGAAATGGTTACTCGGCATGTTTTCAATTTTTTTTCTGAGAAACAATACAATTTTTTTGAAATTTTTTTTTGCTGAGAAACAATGAATCTTTTTTGTTGAAAAAATACGATGCTTACAAATACGCACTTGGCCGGTTTTTCGAAAAAAAATTTTCTTTGTTTTTGGGGCATTTCAATCATTTTTCCAAACCGAGTGACTTACGTCATAAGGAAAGACTCCAGATAATATGCAATATGATTTGGATTCACTTTGTTCCAAGAGCAAGATATAAATATCCTTGGAGTTCCTTGGCCATCGCCTTTTGGCAATGGTTAAATCATCGATATGTATGTAAGCAAGTGCTTATTTACCTTTCAAGATATCGAGTACATTCAATAGCGAAGTGGTGAACCGGGTCAAATCGATTATGACTTTTGGCCAGTTTTTGATGAGTATATCTCGGAATCTAAGAAAGATAGAAAATTTTTTCTCATGACCTTATTTACAACCCTCAATGGGCTCTACAAAAAAGGTTATGACAAAATTTTTGTGAATTGAGAATTCCCAACCAAAGAAATTGAGTCGTTGAGTTTTTAAAGAATATCTCAGAAACTATGAGAAATAGCGAATTTCTAATGCCCCTCCATCTGTAATTTTTCATTTTGGAGCAGCTATAATTTATATTGAAGTAAAGTGTTAATAATTCACTTCAATACGTGTTACAAATGAGATAAATACTTGACTGATCAATTCGTGAATAGAATTGACTGCCCATCGACCACTGAGAGTAGATATTGATGCTGGTAAATATCTGGGCTTCGATTTTTGATGTCGGAGGGAAAGTGGAATTTCACACAGACATCGGATAAAATCCTTGCTAACCCTGTTATTATTTTCATTAATAAGAGCCAACAAATAAATCCTATGAACCAATTGAACCTGTAGTATTTATTGAACACCGAGTCCGGCAAATCCTCCAGTGGATTCGAGGTAGATTTAATTGCCCTACGTTGCGCATTTAATAATCTATGTATGTCCCGTTGATGGTCCTCGGATGCTTCAACTAACACTGCACCTGTTATATTAACCGCCATTATCACGATTGTTTTAGTTTAAATTTCCCTAAAGTTGACTTATAGCTCCCCAAATGTCAAAAAAATCTGACAGATTTCAGGTTTAAAATGCGTTCACAAAGTCATCAATTCGTGTCATTTAGTATCGTGTCACCCCCTCATGGCAGAAAATTGCAGCTTCGAAAAAGCTGCGGAAAAAGTGGCTTTTTGTTGAGAATAGCCCCCTTGAGTAGTCAAAATTCACTTGATCGGACTTACCGCTTCGCTACTGACTTTTAATTTTTTTAGTATTCAAACAAACATCCTATGCTCCATATCTCTTGAACGAATTACCGGATTTTGTTCTTCGTCATTGACAGTGCTATTCTTACCTCAGTTGGATTTTTATTGCTAATTTGCATAGTTCTCTCATAAATTATTTTTCGAAGCATCGTCATTCATCGATCCCTATTCAGAAAACATCTGTAATTTTTTTCATATTCTACAAGGGTTTTACATATATTTGTTGAGGAATTAATATAATATTGTTAAATTGTTGCACCGACAGGGAATGCAATTTTCACTGTTGTAATATTGGAGCAGCCTTCAATATCACAGTGCGGATGAGACAATTGCCTGAATGCAAAATCGACAGGATTTTCGAATTCATCTGGTTTTTTAGAAATGCAACCACTCTGAAACCAAGCATAACGAAATAAATTTTGATACCTTGGTGATGATAATTGATTATGGACTAAAGACTGTAACTTTATGATATTGTTCCGCAAATGTAAATTAATATCATAGTCCATTAGGATGACACTATCCGAAAAATGACGAACATAATTCTTCCATATCCTAAAACCATATACGTCAAGGGGTTGAATTTTTCCAGTAGTCCCCTTTGGTATCAACATAGTTAATAATTCTTTATCCGGAGGAGTAATTTCTTTCACGACTTGAGGACAGTGTCCGCTCCAGGAATCGATTAACAGTACACTTCTAGGACCCACGTTTGGGAAAAAGACTTCCTTCAACCAGGTTTTGAAATGCTGTGAAAAATCAAGTACTAGATGATAATCCCAATTATTGTATAGAACATATCATGTTTGTTAGGTCTTAATTATTGTCATACGTGAAGTGAGTTTTCCCAATTTTAAAGCGGTGATGAACACATTCGCACGTTTGAAGAGATTTTGCTCCACTATTGGACCGAAAGTTCCAGAAGGTTCGTTCAAAACCAGGAAGAGAGGTGAAAGTAATTTTCCATCAGCAGAAATCAGAGGTTGTACTGTATAACTATGTGTCGTTGAAGTTATCGATTGTACGACGCACGCTACTTGTTTAGTACCTTCTTCAGCTAACGTTCGCCCTGAATGAATTTCCAATTGGAAACCACTTTGATCAGTATTATAAATCTTTTCTGGGCCATACGTATCCCAATAAGACCGAACTTTCAGGAGGAATTCGACCGCTTCTTTTTGTAACTCTGCCCGAGTCTCTAATGTTTTTCTGGTGATGAATTTGTTAATCTTCCGGGATGTTATGCGGTGTGCTCGTTTGAAATAATGCAACCACCTGGACCAATCTATAAAACGAACGTCTTCGAAGCCTCCTTCCGGGCTTGCAGGGCCCACCTTCGGAGGTGAGTATCGTGGACGATCAAACCTGCATCGATAGCATTCTTCATATTCTTTAATGTGTACTCCGAAATGCTTTTCAACTTCTCCATGTATGTCCCTCTTTTATTGATTTGATTCGCTCAGCGTTATAACTGACTACGCGATTTCACCTTCCTGAATCGATGGGAAACAGTTTCTAGAGTGACATTCTTCTTCTTTTTTCCACTTCTCCAGAAGTCAACGGCATTCTTTTTATATTCGAAATCTATGGGTTCCTCATCCTCCGAACAACCGTCAGGTGATTCTTCTGTATGTGGTGAAATTCTTTATCTTCGACCGCTATCATTTCGATATCTTTATAAGGCTCTTGAAAATCCAGGGCTGTTTCTTCGATCATTTCAACTCCATTATATTCCTCCATTGATTGAATCAATATCCTTTCGAACGTGTCTGCTAATTCACGTTCCTCGTTGTTCACGGCTATTTCAGCAAGATTGAGAACTTCAAATGTTGCCATCAGAAGTCGGATAACGTTGATGGGATTAACTTTCATGGTAGAACAAGTATAGATTACGAGACTCACCGAAAAACTACTTTTCTCTTCGATGTATCTTCGTAGACTGATTGTAATTCACAGGAGGGATGGAATTGAAAAACATTGATATCGTATAAGTTATATTGATCAGAGTAATTTCATCCTCAGATAACAAATGAGCCATTTTCATCAATATGTTTACAACTCCCGAATAGTCTTCAGTTGTGGTTCTGCATTATCAAACAAAATGGTATTGTCATATGTCACCATTTACGTCTCATTGAAAACGATATCACATCGAAGCGATAAGAGCAACTGAAATACATTTTATCATCGATCCATTATTTACTATACAAAATCATCGGCTCTTCTTTATACCACCCATCCACGTTCATATACAGATGAAAAATTGAATTCCTCAAAATATTTCATCCATAACTCATTTTTTCAGATTGGAAATGGAAGCCATTTTATGGCATCTCTACTCGGGCCTTCGATGAAATTTTTTAGATTCATGGTCATTACTGATTTCTTTTGAAAATGAATGAGATTGGTCCGATCGATTCGATAAAATACCATGAGGATTGCCCTCAAGTTTCACTCCCGAAGACTATTTCAATTGTTTCACTCATCATTCCGTGTAAGATCATTCTATTATAATAAACAATTTAAAACAATTTTTTCTCCTTTATTAAAAGAAATTCCCCCCCCCCTCCCAAGGGTCCTATCCCAATGGTTTTCCTCATCATTAGCCGTAAGCTTCGTTTTGTACAGGAAAAAGTTTGAAATTGCGCAATTCACGAAAAATCTATTTTTTTAAGTTTTAAATTTCGATTAAAAAAAAAATTAAAACAGGTATTTTGTATTTTTTTCCACTGTTTCAAATAGAATTTATCCCATGGGATTCCCATCAAAAGTTTTTTTTCTATGAGAAAAATGCTTTTTCACAAGGGTAGTTTACCCTCCATATTTCACCCCCCGGAAACAGTTCTAATTCGCATTTTCATCATTCCTTGTGACCTTCATGATACACTGCAAAAGAGTTGTTCAAAAAGCTTCCTTATGTGTGCAATCGAAAAATAACCCCGAGAGGTGGTCAACTTCAGAGAGCACTTTCACCCCCTAAAACCCAATATGGGCAGCTAAAAAAAAATACGTGTCCCTTAGTTTTGAATTAACCAAAAGATTTGTCAGTCTCATTCAACAAAATAGTGATCATATAGTTGATTTGAAGTTAGCATCAAAGGCCTTAGGAGTATCTCATCGGAGGATATACGACATAACACATGTTCTACAGGGTATTGGACTATTCACGAAAAGGGGTGTGGGACAAATGCGATGGCTGGGGGGACAGTTCTCTGGACATGTAAATAATCGATTAAACTTGATAAGAGAAAATGAAGACTTGGATGCAGAGGAAAGTGCACTTGATCGATCGTATCAACTGGTTAAGGAGGAGTTGCTGCAATTGCATGCTAATAGGCAACTCGCTTATGTCACCGCTTCTGATTTGAGACATGTTCGAGTCTATGAGGATCAGACAATTATTGCTGCTAAGGCACCTTACGGAGGGACGCTGCCTGTACCCCAGTCCATCACGAATTCGGCACAATCGAAGGGACCAGTTATGCTATAATCATCGTTTGGAGAGCTGGAGGTTTTTTTTCTGTTCTCAAACAAATCCCAGAACCAAAAACAGAAACAGGGATCTGCCCACGCGAGCGAGTGCATTGGAAATAAGCAGAGGACACAAAATAATGAGGGTCTCTTCGGAATGTTGCCTGTTAATTTTTTAACACATCATCATTCGTTGTCAGAGATGTTTTGCTGAGTGAAGACATTGACGAGTTCGCGCTCATTGTCATGCAGTGATGGTCGCCTTCCTACAGAAATAAATGGGATAGGAATAGAGAGAATGGTCAGAAAGGCTGAAGAATTAGCTGATGGAAAGGCGTATATTTCATCAAAAAACATTGTCCGCCATGATTTGGCAGCTCGCAATTGCCTCGCAGCCGAAGATTTGACAGTGAAAATTGGGGATTTTGGGGTGAGTCGATACGTTCACGAAGAAGAAAAATGTTATCGTATTACTGAAAGAGAGTATTTACCGATCAGATAGATGGTTCCGAAGAGTATCTCTGGCGGCATTTTCACCACTGCATCGGACTTCTGGAGTTACGGAATTCTTTTATAGGAAATATTCACTTTCGGAGAAATAACGTATGACCGATTGACTCATGACAACATGATCACTCCATTCACTTGCGGGAACGTATTAGAATGCCCGGCGATATCGCGTGTCTAAAATTAAAAGTTCGTAAGCGCCAAAATGCTACTTTTCCCAGTTTTTCAAGGCGAGAAGGTCGTATATCCAAATTTTTGTTTGCCATTCTACCCGAAAATACTGGAAGGGCTTATTATAATATCTACATTCTCATATTTATCATGAACTGGATATATGACTTTTTGCCTTTTACTTCTATCCCCAGAAAAAATAGATGCCCTAAAGTCAAAACGTCGTTATGATGAAATTATCTCCAATAATTCTTTATTCCTCCATTCTCGAGATAAATCATGAATAACATCATATAGATTCGATATTTATCACTGCACAGTACCAACAGTCTGATAGAACCGACCTATCACATTTATTTAACTCAATTCATCGCCAAAAATCTCGAATATTGGTCATTTTCACACATTCAAAGGGGTTGATTATTTTTCGAAGGTTCACGAGGGTGGCGCCGAACATGTTGGAATGAAAAGCCGCCTAAATACAATGATGATAATCTGAAGTAAGAATTTCCTTTTTTTTTATTTCAAAATACAATGAGAAGATAACAGAAGATGTAGAGTAAATAATTCAGAAATATCTGTAATGAGAATGATGAATTATCATGATTATCAATCAACGTTTTGGCAATCGTCCTACCCCATCGACCCCCGGTGAATCATCATCAGAATCTAAAAATAATATATCACGTTTTATACATATATACAACAATAATCAATCACGCTGTTTCATGAAAACTTTTTATGGTTAGATATGAAAATAGAATGAAAAATATAAAACATTTATTTTTTCATTTGGAAAATTAATTGAAATTAACAAGATATAAGCCATGGAAAATGTCTACAAGTCACGCCAAAACGCTCATATACGAAGCATCGTGACGTCATAATGCTGACGTTTCCCCAATTAGCAATAACCACTTGATTTTTCATTAATTTCAAAATAAAAAAATACTTGTTTTATGTTTTTTATACAATATTCATATTTGATTTTTTTTTCAGTGAAGATTAGCTGTCTTACCCTCTTCGTACGATAAATTCAGATAAAAATCGTGGTATTTACGAAGAATGACTCCCTTATCACATAAATTCTTCAAATCGTTGTACTTGCCCTTTTTTATAGGCAATGTCGAGGTGTACAATTGATTTGGCCTGGAAGATGGGAAGAAGTTCTTCAAAATGATCCTTTTGAATCTCGTATCACTGTAGTCTTCTTTAATGTAAATTGATATGAAAATCCAACATGTTCATTTTAAACCCTTCAAAGTATGCAAGCACAAATTTTTCGCTCTAATTACCCCTTGATAGCCTTCTTCACTCGAATCCAACGAGCTTCGGACCATCTGATTGCACTACCATCTGAGAATTTCCCCTTTGATCCTCAACACTGTAAAGTTATCACAATCAATTATCAATATTATTATATTCTTCAAAAAAAAATTGTCGAAAAATTGAAAGTTTTACAGTTCAAATACCTTGTCTTTCATTTGTTTTAAATCGAAAAAATCCTCATGAGTCATCCTGTTGACGATGTAAGGGCGACCTCTCTTCTTAGCACGACGAATGATCCTCACCCAGTCATTTGGCTCATAAATGAGTTCCTTCTTAGCTGCAGTTTCGACTGTTGAGTGAATATAATCCACTTCCTGGTACGTGTGTCCAGCTTCCAGAAATTTCAAATTCACCTCCAGAAGAGTTGGATGAAATTGATTTGCGTAGCCTAAAGCTACAGCAACGATGGAATTTTTGTTTTGACCTGGAAAAAAAAATATTTAAATCCACATTCACCTTTCCTGAAGGAATTCTCGAGGAGAGCGGGGCACATGGAAACGTGAAAGCTTTTTCTGAATCGTTAATAAGATTCAACAATTCGTTTCTCTTTGTTGTGAAGTTAAAAGAAGATCTTCTTTTGCCTTCACAATGAGGCGAAAAATTCTCTGATTGTACTCTTAGACCTTGAGGTATTGGAAACTCTTCAACCACCTTCACATTTTGTTTTGCTTCGTCTCTGCCCAATTGACAATATTTTCCATAAATTTTCACCTGGGCAATTATCTGCATAAATATTGAGGCATTCTACACCATTCTCGACTTCTTCCCGGATGAATTTTAGCAAACATGTGGAGATTTCTTGAGAACCTCTACGTCCTTCATTCTCTCCCCAAACATAGCAGTAACCTAAAACAGATAAAATTCATATTTCTGACCCTGGATTTATTAATTGAATTTAATTCAGATTTTCCTGTGGAAATTTACCATTCTTCGTCTTTGTATCGAAGAGAGTGAAATTACTCATTGTGAATTTCCTTGTATAGAATGCAGGGGTGGCAAGGAGAAGAGGACTGTATAACAATGCCTCCATGTCAATAGAAATTGTCATGACTGTACAATCAGATTCAGCCAACTCCTTGTCACTTGCTTTCTCTTTTTCAGCTGCCTTCTTTCGCTCCATATGAATGTCATACCTTTCCTGGTCTTCTTCACTACGTTCTTCATGTGGAAGACGTTCAAAAGCTACGTGCCAACACTCATCCTTCTTAGGTTGATGAAATCCCAGATTGTGTTCATCAAAAACTCGCTGATAAACGGGCTGGGATGCAGGTTTCATGTTTTTATCAGCACACCATTCCACATACAGTTGATAAACCTTAGTTTTATTAAGTGTTCCCTCAATGTATCTTTTCGTGGAATCTCTTCTGCAATAGTGCAGCTCTACAATTGGAAGTGCTGCAATGTGGTTTCTTATATTTTGCATGAATTCTTCAGATAATTTATTAGCTGGCGCATGACGACCTCTGCGATCAGGGGAGAGTGCACCTGTCACACTCCTCTTTGACTTCTCGACTGCTACCGAAACTGTCCTTTCTCCAATACAAAGAGTATTCAGGAAGAACTTTCTGCATATCTGTATTAAGTCATCACCTTTCTTCAGATGATACTTAATCGTATGCCTATTGGGAAAAAAAAAAAGGTAAAACTTTACAAGTGGGACTGGTAACGGATTTTCAAATAGTTATTTTTCTTGACATTAAAAAATGAAAAACCAAAAAATTTGTTGCGACACATGTCAAGAAGAATAACAATTTGAAAATCCATTACCAGTCACACTTGTAAAGTTTTACCGAAAAAAATTATAGAAACCGAAAATTATAGCAAAATAGAGATCGTTTATTCACATACCTCCTCTTAATTCTCCCAGATCCACGGCGTCATTGAGGTGACCTGATATTAATCAATTTTCCAACTAATTCTCGTCGTCGATCAGCACTACCCAGCCCCCAGAATCCTTTGAAAATTTTCCTCCTCTGTGAGGGAGAAATTTTACTACGGCAGGTAGTCTTGCATTTGCAAAAAGATGATCTCAGAGTTCTAGCTGGCCGAGATATTTTGTTGTTATGAATATTTGTAGAAACATAAGCTTTTCCCAAATTGCGTTCATGTTTTGGACGATTTAGTTTCCAATGCTCAGGGGCTGCTCGTCGTCTCCTTTTGCGTTTCCTCGTTCTAGGGGCTTCTAAAGAATGATCCTCAGCCATACTCGAATGTATTGATTGACTCGTGCTTTGGCTTGGATCGATTTCGCTCACTGGGTCATCATTGACGAGGGAGTTTGCAGCTGGAGGTGAATCGTCACGATCCATTTCTGATTCGGAATCAGAGGAGTTTATACGATTAGTCCTCTTTGGTTTATGTGATAGGCATTGGTTAACATTGCACTGATTTCTTTGGACAGCATTCCAGATTGAGGATCCTCGAGACTCATTGGAAGACAGGGGTAGGTGTCCAGATGAAGCAGAATTTTGTATCGAGAAATTTGCATGTACGTTATCGATAAAGGAATATTGAACTTCGGAGCGTTGTGTAAAAGATTGGTTTAATGGATTCTGTAGGTTGGACTCAGATGACGAGTGGACCGTAGGAGAGTTGCATCCTGCTCGATAATCTAATGGGAGAAGGTGGTAAGCAATTACTGACATTATGGAATCGACATAATAAAGAAAAAAATAACCATAACGTAAGGGAGTGACGAAAGTACCTGTTTGGAATGCACTGGCGTCTTCAGGAGGGTCTGGAAATTGTCCGTGATTATTCCCTGAAGGCACGAGGGAAATAATTGATCTATGTCCATTCGATTGAGATCCATTTTGAAGAATTAGTGAGAAGCCAAGTCGAGGGGAAAGGTGCTTATCACTCTGTAATGGTACTGGAGCGAGTGACAATGAATTGGGAACTTTATTCACTTCGTCCTGGAAGCCAGACCTCATAACTTCACAAGTCTCCGTCGATTCATTTTCGAGATGATTCTTACACTTCTTCGATGCATCATTCTGCGATGAAGATGGA